AAGGGTGTTTCCAACCCTTATAGAAATATCATACTAAGAATCATTAATAATTACTTATTTTCAGTATTAAAAATACTGGATAATAAGTAATTATCAATGATTCTTAGTATGATATTTCTATAAGGGAAGGTTTCGAACGCGATCTTAAATTCTTTTGATTGCTCCTGCATTCTTTATACGGATGGTTCTATTAATACGGAAGGAAATGCTGGCTATGGGATTTTCTCATCCTCTCCTCATATTCGTGACTCAGTCTCAGTTTCGAGTGGCGGAATCATTTTTAGCGTTGAGGCAAAGGCAATTTTACGAGCTGTTGACATTTTCTTAAATAAACTATGCTCTCTATGCTGAAATACACTCGGTGTGTATTTGTTTGGATGGGAATGTTCCGATTGACCACAGTACGATTGGACACAACCGATGTAAAGAATTATCTAGTGAATTACCAGGTCGAACCAATCATTACAATCTTTGTCCAATCGTACCGTAGTCAATCGGATCTCACCCGTTCGGATGTTCTAAGCGTTCTTAAATACATCGGTTCTCTCAACATTAAGGGTAAGAAACCGGATATTATATATTTTAAACAAACTCAATTTGGTTCAGCAAAGGAAGAATCGATTTCGTCTTGTCTGGGTTCCGGAACATACCAAGTGAGAAATGACTTATCGATCAATGTCGAAAAGACGTCAAATCGACGTCTATTTGACGATTTCGACATCGATTCGACGTCTTTTCGACGTCGATCAATAAGTCATTTCTCACTGGGTATGGGGATATATGACAACAAAGAGGCTGATAGGCTGGCAAAATTGGCAACAAATACTAATGTATTAAGATGCGTTTCACGCAGTGAATAAAACGTTTCATCCCACTCCATCGTTGTTCAAAGCAGCGTTTAAAAGCTGTTCGCTATCACCAGTAGGTTTCTATTCTCTAACTTCTTAACGACAATGTCACTAGCCTAAGGTGTCGTTACGGATATTTAATGACATTGTAACGAAAAATGGTATTCTGTAATTTTTCTTAACGATAAATATCGTTAAAAGTATCGATAAAATATTGAATTTTGTCATTAAGATATCGAGGGGTATGGGAGCTCGATAAGCAATACCGACATAAACTAGGCATAACGATACTCCAAATAGTAGAAAAGTGTGGCTCTACGTTTGTACGTCGGCTCTACAGTAGAGATGCCCGATTCTTAATCGATTCGATTCTTTCCCTAACAAATTTAGGGAAAAAGGATTGTTCGTGCTGCTTGAATATTTCATATTTTTCGGTTTTAAAAAGAGATGGACGACTAATCAGACGCTTGGAAGAAACAATCGAGTTGGTTGTCTCGCTTTCGCTTCTTCCAAACATTCCAATATATCTTTGTCTGGTTTTAAATACGAAAATACTATACAGTAGAGATGCCCGATTCTGAATCAATTCTTTCCCCAAAAACAGGCTTTTTCTCTTTTCGCACTTTTCGTATTTAAAACCAGACAAAAATGGAATGTTTGGAAGAAGCAAAAGCAAGATAACTAACTCGATTGTTTCTTCCAAGCGTCTGATTAGGCGTCCATCTCTTTTTAAAAGCGAAA